GGGAGTATCAGCGTTCTTCAGCAAAGGCAGCATGTCGGTTAACAACAAAAAGATCCGCAATTTCTTTGATATCCTCGTCCTGAAAACTTAATTTACAGATATTTAGGAGGTGCGAATTGTGATCTATCACCTCCACGGTTTCACGTCCATTTGCCTGTGCATGTAAAAGAGCAGGTGTTAGAAGTTGCGTCACTGCCCTGAACAAAAATAGCTTATAATGAGAAGAACTTGCATTCTTCTGAACATCCTTCAATTTTATCCATAATATGGATATGGCGTTCACAAGGATGTTGCTGGAAAAAAATGCATAGAAATTAAATGAGACACCTCATAGACGTTCCGTGTGCAAGTTCTGCAACAATCTTAAGGCATGATGGCGACATCTTCACGTGTTCTGCAGATGCGCGAATAGAAATGATCTTAAGAATTACGAATTATAACAGATAAACTTATCATAAAGCACATTCTATTTCGCATACTGATCAGCTCCAAATTTTCTGGATAGTTAACTTCGATTACTATAAAGTTGTCAAAGAAAACTATCCTCTTTTTAGAATAATGGGACGAGGCAGCAGCGTGATTCCAAATTTGGACTCCCGCTTTTCTTGCTACAGAATGCTGTTTGAAAGCCAAACACAGGCGGAGCTGAAGAAGAAGTCGCTGAGTAGGTTGCTTAAAAGCCACGATTTTCTCTCTTACTACGACGAATTATTCAACCGAACTTGGAAGTAGCTCAGACAGACAAACGATCATCTGAAGCTGCATTTGGTAACCACAAAACTGCAGGCTTAGTAACTGTCAATGGAGACAGGGAATAGACTTCGGAATATGCTCGCAATTTCAGAAATCACCTCCCTCTAAGATTTTAGTGTATATTTTGATTTTGGCCTAATCAAATGACGGTCTTATCTCTAAGTGTTGTTCAATGATACGCGCCCACATTGTATAATATCACGTAGAAGATGGACAAGCGATACAGCGACAGATCTGGGTATGGCAGCTAGCCTGCTATATGGCACGACCAACCACAAAATGGGGAGAGATGAGATAAACTAAATTAGTGTGACTTTTAATAACCATTACCTCTTCTATTCAAATAGCGCGAGAGTTAGTCATTGATAAACTACTCCTACAAAGGAAGAATACATGGTAGGAACGGCGATGCAGAAACAGATGCATACCATTACAATTTGAAAC